GATTTTTTAGGAATTTGGCGGGAAGTTAAAATTTGAGGATTTTGTTTTTATATATAGTATAGATTAGATAATGACCATGTTTGATTATTGACAAATTTGACAAAATTTTAACAAATTCACCATTTTAACGTTTTGTATTTAATCAAAACACAAAAAAAATATTATTTAATAACTCATCAATTTGCTCCAAACTAGTAAAAACAAAAACAACACATATACATTTTGGGGAAAAATTAAAATTAATATTTTCCCAAAACCCCTAAATAAATAAATTAATAAATTTATTTAAAAAAAAAAAAAAACTAAAATAAGACACCATTAAGGCTTTTTATATAAAAGCTGTTTGGCTTCTCAATACTTGTCCACGTTGATAGGCAAGCAATTATGTTTGGAAGAGGAGCATTGCTCCTCTTATATAGAGGAGCACAAGAGCTCATCTTTCCAAACATTTTCTAAGGTGGATTCAAAATGATCCCACATCATTTACAAAGGGGAGCTTTGTTGGAGGATAAAAATGTAATATCCTCCCCTTCCATTTTATTTCTATTTTTTTCCCCTTATTCCCTTACATAAAGCAGTGTATCTTCCCATCTCTAGTTATCAGTAATATCATTCTTTGTCTTCATCTTCTTCGCACCTCTCGTCTCTCTCTGCTTCTTTCGTTCTTCGTCAATGTAGTCCCTCATTCCAACATGGTATCAGAGCAGCGAGGCAGCCACGCCACCGCCGTTATCTACGCCGGAAAATTGAGTCAAAGAACGGCTCATCCAATAATGTCGATTGTTCAATTCCCTTTTCGCGCATCGCCGAGCAATCCGCAGAGGATTAGTGCTAGGCAGAGTAGAAACAACAAAGTCGACGCTAGATCAACAGTCCGATCAGCATCAACAATGATTCCGCAGAGGAATCCAAAAGATACGGCGATCTCCACAGCCGCAGCGGAATGGAGGAGCTCGTTCGTCGATTCCGATCAATCCGCAGAGGATTCCGAGTTTGGAGCAATCAGCCGCAACAGTTGTATATCTCCATCTGAAATACGTTCAGAGAGTCATGGCTTTGAAGTGCGTGGACTCTATTGAGCGAGAGTTTCTGATCAAATACCGTCATCTACGCTCCGCAGAGTGCCGGAGAAGCGGATCCCGTTGATTGGGGATTGGCTTGTTGAGATCCAAGTTGTTAGTCGAAATTTAGTCCAGATAGCCATCGGACAAGCCTCCGCAGAGAGGCAAAGAGAAGAGGAACAGGTTCAGAAGCTTTTATGGCAGAACTTGAAGAGAAGTTGTGAATCCGATCGAGATCGAGAGCGAGTAGCAATGGCCTTGGCTTTAGATGAGTTCGGAAGGCCGTTCATAATAATCAAGGAGCAGGAGCAGAAGATGAGGCTCAGAGGCCTCGATGCTCAGATGGCCAACATTTCTACGGGAAAGGCAGTCGCGCTGTTTCTCGTATCCCCCGTGTGCCGGGAGGTGGTACGCACCGAGCAAGGCAGGGTGCTTTCGGGAATATGTGCCGCGTTAGCCGCATCAGTGTGGAAAGAATGGGTAAAGTGGTGCATTGAATTTGGTGTTGAGGCTCATGCAATTATTGCAGTTCCATATGACTGGAGATTGCAACCTTCGAAACTCGAGGAGAGAGACCTTTACTTTGATAAACTAAAGCTGACCTTTGAAACTGCTCTTAAACATCATGGTGGACCGTCAATAGTTTTTGCTCATTCATTAGGTAACAATGTTTTCAGATACTTTTTGGAGTGGCTAAAACTAGAAGTTGCCCCTAAAATGTATAACCAGTGGCTGGACAACCATATTCATGCCTGTTTTGCTGGTTCAAGTGAGGCAGTCAAAGCGACACTCTCTGGAGTCACATTTGGTCTTCCCATTTCTGAGGGAACGACTCGATTGATGTCCAGTTCGTTTGGCTCTTCATTGTGGATGATGCCATTTTCAAAATACTGTAGATGTAGTCCCACCAAATATTTTTTTTCTTTCTCTTTTGTATCTAAGCTGGGCATGTAGGATCTACACGCTCCAGCTTACGGGGGGGGGGGGTGTTGGAGGATAAAAATGTAATATCCTCCCCTTCCATTTTATTTCTATTTTTTCCCCTTATTCCCTTACATAAAGCAGTGTATCTTCCCATCTCTAGTTATCAGTAATATCATTCTTCGTCTTCATCTTCTTCGCACCTCTCGTCTCTCTCTGCTTCTTTCGTTCTTCATCAATGTAGTCCCTCATTCCAACAAGCTTGTCTTTCTTCTTTTTTTCAAATTTTCAATATATATTGTTATACGTTAAAAATGATATTAAACTAGTCTATAAAGTCGATTGAACTCAAAGGCAGACTCCACCGTTGGGCATTGTATTACAAGAAAATCGTTGTTTTTTAATACTGATTCACGAGTCAAGAATCTAAAACACAATCAATTTGTATATACTAATTGATTGTTTGCCACAACAATTCATAATTGTACTTTTTTTATATACGATTTTTCTTTGTACTCATCGAATAAAATTGTTCTATCTATACTTGTCACATCAAAACGTTTGATTAAGCGAGTAGAATTTGAAATTCTGCATAGTAAAACTCTTTTTAAAATTTTTTATGCCATACCGAGTACCATTCTACTTCAGTAAAAATGATAGAAATATTTTTTATTTTTAAAAATTATTTTAAGTAATTAAGTATGCATTATTTTTTGGAATAATATGTTATAGTTTAACTCAACTTTGATAGGAAACTCAAGTGATAAGAATTTCTAATGCATACAAATTTATGTAAGAAAATAGCCCTATATCTCATATTGGTTATCATATCTCTCTCATCATGCAGGAGAAATGATATTTTCTCTTATACTCTAAGAGTTAATAGCTGGCAGGATACTTAGAGTAAGCAGGAATATAGGTCTTATATCCAACCCATAACATTACACTGATTAAGGTAGCAGTAAAGAGCTTGGAGTTAAACCAAACCATTTGATAGCGCAGAATTAAAAGACGCATATGTTTGTTATATGAGTTTAATATAAATAGCTATGTCATTGAATGATATGATCATACATGATATATATCTTATATTGAAACATTCATTTGCAATACAACACTTTGCTCCATGCAATTATCTATTATCGATTCTATTATGTTTGTCTTAATTATTTTGGTGTTAAGAAAATTAATACCATTAATAACTTATAGGTTTTTGCTTGTGTCTTTTATAACATAATAATACATAATAGGCCGAAAACAAAACACTATTGATTTGTTCCATATTACAATTCAGCCAATCGTTATGCGTTGGACCCGTGTCCAGCATGCTTGCTGGACACGGGTAACAGTGCCGTTAGGCACTGTTATCTTCTTCTTCTTCTTCTTCTTCTTTTTTTTTTTTTTTTTTAAAATTTCAGACCGCTTCATTGTAAGAGTATATGTTCATAATTTTATTACTATATGTTAATAACTATACATTCATAACTCCATAACTATACGTTCATAACTCTATAACTGTACATTCATAACTCTATAACTGTATATTCATAACTCCATAATTGTACATTCATAATTTTCGAAGCTCTATGTTCATAATTTTATCACTATATGTTCATAATTGTAAGTTCATAATCTTAGAGCTCTTTGTTCATAATTTGATCAATAACTGTACATTCATAATTCCATACTGTAGATTCATAATCTCATAACTGTAGATTCATAATCTCATAACTGTAGATTCATAACTCTATAACTGTACATTCATAACTCCATAACTGTACATTCATAATCTTCGAAGCTCTATATTCACAATTTTAAAGCTCCATGGTCATAATTTTATCACTATATATGTTCATAATTGTAAGTTCATAACGTTAGAGCTCTGTGTTCATAATTTCATAATTGCATAACTGTATATTCATAACGGAATAACTGTACATTCATAACGGCATAACTGTACATTCATAATCCAAAAAAAAATAACGCCGTTAACGGCAAAACGCGCGCGATTTTTTTTTTTTATAACTAAATGACGCGTTTTTTTTTTTTAAAACGACGTCGTTTTGGGCCCGTATCCACAATTCAATGTGGACACGGGTCCAGGGCATAATTTGCCCAATTAAGCTGGTTAACTAGTCTTGATGTTTCACTAATAATTGTATATATGGTGCAGAATATTATAAATTAAATACTCATATATAGCTAGGTATTTTTATAAAAATTTCAATTTACTTCTCCCGTATGTTGATTAGACATTCCTTGGGTGCAATATTTTTAATTTTAAGAAACAACAAGATTGCTGCTAGATCTCTGAAGCCCTTTAACGTTTTCCACGTGCAAGATCCAAGTAACACAATAAAACATATGAAAATGGACAATAAATGTGATAAATAAGAAACATTAATTTTATAATATATAAACAATTATTTTTAAAAACAAACAGACAAAGGAATCCTACTCATCACGCACCTACATACATATTTACATAATGCATGATTTATAAATTAATCAAAACAACTGAATCCCTTCTGCAGCATAATTAATTAAGTACCACAATTATTTTAAAATACATTTCAAAAACCATTTAAAAAATACACTTATTTTTAATCGTAGAATTTCTAATCTACATTATATTATGTACCAATCCCCATTTAAGGCCATGTTTAATCTTATATGATCCCGAAATTACTATATCAACCCACACCGGATACCTAATCTTATCTTATATCAATCTACAATAGGTATCAATACACATTAGGTATTCCGAGATACCTAATTTAGATCACTATACCCATATATACACATTAGACATTGCCCATTAGGTATATATCTCAAAATACCTAATCTTATCTTTAGACCATTATACATCCACATTCTTAGCATTATTCATAGAATTAATTCTATTTTTAAAAATTTTAATAGATTCAAAAACAAAAGATAGAGTATTGATCTTTAAAAAGTTTATTAAAATGTAAAAGGAATTATTTACAATCTTTTTTAGTTTATGAAAATTAAAAAAAAAAAAAATTGTAATAATTGAAATAGTAATTACTCAAATCTTAGAATCAATACCATCAAAGCGAGATCCCATCGTCATCATTACCCTAAACTCCTCGAAATCGATCATCCCGTCGCCGTCGCGGTCAACGCCGCTGATCATATTCCGGCAGTCGGCAATGGAGCAGTCGTCGCCGAGGCTGTGCATCACGTTCTGGAGCTCCTCGGCGGAGATGGAGCCGTTCTTGTCGCTGTCGAACACGGAGAAGGCGTCCTTAAGGTTCCGCAACACTTCCTCGGAGTCGATGCCCTGCGTGTTGAGCTCGATGAACTCTCGGAGGTCGATGAAGCCGTCGCCGTCGCTGTCCACTTCCCGGATCATCGCCTTCAGCTCTTCCTCCGTCGCCACGTGACCCAGGCTGCCCATGATGGACCCCAGCTCCGACCACGAGATCTTGCCGTCGCTGTTGACGTCGAATTTGTTGAACACCTGCTCCAGTTCCTCCTCCAGGCGCGCCCGTGAGTTAAACGACGACGTCCTCGAGTTTACGGATCCGCCATTCTCGCTCGGGCTACCCAGCGGCTTCTTCTTGGAGAAGAGAGATTTGAATCCCATATCATCAAATATTTTGGGTTTTTTTTTTTCTTCTGGAGATTGGGATAATATGAGAGAAAATAATATCTGAAAGAGTAGATTTTGGATTGGATAGAGGTAGAAACTTTTGTTTTTGGGATGATTTGATAGAAGATGGAATTGAAGAGAGTGAAATGTGCAATGAGAAAGAGGATCAGTTAGAACAAAGAGGAGGCTTTATAGGATTCTATAACTTCACTATTTCACATCACAGACTTATTAATTGTCTAAGATATATGATATCATATCGAATCATTGATCGCCCGGAGTGGTTATTCAACGCGGAAAGTTTGAGATGGTAACAAGGGAAATATACTGATTCCATAATTATAAGTTAATTACATACCTGACCAGGTCGAGAAGGGAGCGTATCTAAATAGATATTATGTTATTTTCAAAAAAAAAAAAAAATACTGTATTTCTATATGGATCCCTATGTCGTTACATTTCATTTAGGATTAGGAATAGACATAATCGAGCCTGCTTTTTATATACCTATCTTGGAACGTAACCCTATTTATATCTTTGAGTGAATCGAGAAATAGTTTTGATAGATAAGACATTCTCCGAATAATTCAAATCGAAAAAATTGAATGTCCAACTCGGACCTATATAACATGATCAATCTATAGAAAGACTTCACATTTATCATATATTTCATACATTACACTAGATAGATATCATATTCATAAAATATGATTCACGTTCAATATGTCTTGGTGGTGAAATAGTAGTAGACACGCGATACTCAAAATCTCGTGTTAACAAAAAACAATATTGTAGAATACAGTTACACACATATACATTATTATAACATTAATTCCATCAATACCACTCATTATGTAATGATTCAAGAAATTATTTATAATATTAATGATTACTAGTATTTTCGTCCGTGCGATGCATGGAATAAACTTGTTGTAATATATTAATAATATTTGGATCGATATATAATTATTAAATTAGAACATCAAATATTATATAGTGCAATTGAAGATACGGTTTAGATCATTTATGCGTTTTGATGTTATCATTGCTTGAATTTGAGCAAATAATTTCTCAAATTAATAGCTACTGTGTAGATGTACGTAGAGGTGCTGTAACTTTAGAGAATTTATTTATCATTGTTTAGTATTTTTTTGTTATAAATTAGGCAAATGTGCTCATTCTCTAGCAACTCAGTTATAGGAATGAATTGTTATCTTAATTCAGTTGTATGGGAGATATATTTTTTTGTCTAGATCTATAACAATTTTGTCATTTAAAAAATATAATATCGATGATCGTATTTACACATTATTGAAACCTCATTGTAGACAACATTGGTAGTAGCAACATAATCTTATCCATCATCGTCTATAGCTAACCCCTTCGGTTCATCAGGATAGGTGACTCGGGTAAAAATATATAATGGTAGAATATTAGTCAATTAGCGATCCTTTTGTATTTTAAGTCAATTAGTAATATCAGATTCATTTTCAGCCAATAATTCTTTTTTATTTTTATTCAATTGGAATATCATATGCAATGATATTTGTACCTAATTTTTGTTCCATTTTTAATTGATGATGTATAATATTATTATTGAAATATTTTTATTCCATTTTTATTTTACCTATACTATTGTTTAAAATATGCATTTACTATTTATTATGTAAAATATTACTGTTGAAATATTTTCGTCCAATTTTAGTTTCCATTCCATTTTTAATTTAAATGCAATGATCTAACCATTTATTTTTTCATATTAGTCAATTATAGATCATTTTTATTTGTAGTCAACTATTAATATTCATTTCACTACAAGAAAAATGCACATAGACAACACTAGAAAGACAACAGTTTTTAAGAAAAGTGTTGTCTTTTGTATAAAAGACAACAGTTTGGTCCAAAACCGTTGTCTTTGATGCAACACTGTTGTCAAAGACAACAGTTTTTACTTAACCGTTGTTATAAGTGTGTTGTCTTTGTGCATTTTGTGAAAAGACAACACCACAACGACAACGGTTTTTAAAACCGTTGTCTATGTGCGTTTTTTTTTTTTTAAAGACAACGGTTTTTTTAACCGTTGTCGTTGGTGTGTTGTCTTTAAGCGCACTAGAATACACAACACTAGAAAGACAACGGTTTTTTAAAACCGTTGTCTTTGTGCGTTCTTTTTTTGAAAAAGACAACGGTTTTATTTAACCGTTGTCGTTGATGTGTTGTCTTTAAGCGCACTAGAATACACAACACTACAAAGACAACGATTTTTTAAAACCGTTGTCTTTGCGCATTATTATTTTATAAAAGACAACGGTTTTATTTAACCGTTGTCATTTATGTGTTGTCTTTAATAGCACTTGAATACACAACACTACAACGACAACCGTTGTTGTATCATTATTTTATAAAAGACAACAGTTGTATAAAATATAAACAAGGATGTTAACAACAAGAATCAAACCTATAACCTCAAACATAACAATTAAGGTTTAACTAACTAAACAATACAAACTCTTTTGTACCAAAGTGCAACATCTGGTATATAACTGGGTTACTTATGTGTTGTCTGTGAAAACCAAGACAACGATTTTATAAAATAAGTTAAGGATGCCTCTTGGAATTATAGAACTTGAGACTTCTAACATAACAAACTAAATGAAACCCACCAAGCCACACCAACACTTATGTACTTAAGTGCAACATCTAAGATATAACGAGTTTGGTTCTATGTTGTCTATGAGAACCAAGACAATGATTAACACTGTTGTCTATGAGAACCAAGACAATGATTGTATAAAATATATGTTAAGGATGCCACCAAGAAAGATAGAACCCATGACTTCTAACATAACAAACAACACTAAACCCACCAAGCTACACCAACTCTTATTTATTAAAGTATTACCCCTTATCTTTTAACTATAATTTGGACCTTCATTGTTTTTGTTACGCGATGAAAATAGATGTTTAGAAGATCTAGAACAAAAATAAAAATGTAATTAAAATTTTTTTGTCCAAATATAATGCATAAAAATTTAACAAAGAAATAATACAATTCAAAAGTTAATTTTATAGTTATATTTTCGTTCATATTTAAATATAAAATTATTCACCAAAATTTCAATGTCAATTCATTAAAGTTTTATTTTCAATTCATTAAATTACATGTCATAGAACGGCCCTGTGCGGTGCGGTGTGGTGTTCATAATGGTGCGGTATGGTGTGGAATGGTTAAGGGCGGTATGTTTGAACTCTATATTCACAATTACAGAACTCTATGTTCAAATTATGAATCTACTGTATTTAAATTATGAATCTACGATTTAGAAATTATGAATCTAGAGTAAAGATTTTATAAATCTACAGTATAAAATTTATGAATCAACAGTATAAAAATCTATGAATCTCGCGTTCTGTACCTATAGGTGACAGTTCACTTTTAGTTTTTTTTTTTTTTTTTTTTTTTTTTACTTTTATCAAAACATTCATTTTTGGTCTTAATATTATTGTGACCCGCTCCCAACAGCCTTGGCATGCACTTTGGGCTTTATATGTTCTACTTTAGGCCTAGCACCCCGGGTAATAAAGTTACTATTTTCTTACTTCTCGTTTTGTACCTATATACCTGGTACTATTTTGGGCCTAGTACCCCCGGTAATAAAATGACTATTTTCTTACCCCGTTCTGTACCTATATACCCAGTTTATGGTGGACCCGTTTTCGATAAAACCGTGAATATACTTATTTAATTTTGAAAAAAATAAAGACTTATTATAAAATAAAAATAAAACTTTTGTCATTTTGCTTATTATATTAGATATATATGTTATTTTTTTTTAAAAAAAATAAAACTCAAAATAATTTTGACTTTAGATATATATTAGATATATATGTTATTCTTTAAATTTTAACTTTCAAGACTTGCACACTTCGCAAAAAATCTCCCTCCCTCTCAAATAAAATAATTCAATTCCCTCCTTGCAAAACAAATTAAAACACTTATGCCAAAAAACTTAATATTCATTCGTGAATTCTATCGCCGTCCGTCCCGAAGTCGAAGTCGAACAAAACTACAATCGCCGTAATCGTGCCGTCGTCGCCTCCAACGTCCGCTGCCGTCGCTGCCTCCAATGTCCGCCGCCGTTGCCGCCTCATCCATGCTCAACTCGTCACCTTCTCCGTCTCTGCTCGCTACTGGTTTGTTGTACTACTCAAATGTTAAACTCTAATCCCAAAATTCCTTATTCTATTTATCTGTATATCACTACAAGAAAAACACTTTTTAGTGACAAAAAATTAGTGACGAGTGGAAAAACCCCTCACTAAATGTATTATTTGCATAGTTTTTGTGAGGGTTAAAAATTACTCTAGCTAAAGGTTTATGATCTAGTGACGAAATTTTACTTTTATACTTATTTTAAAAGTATACTCTCACTATTGGTACGAAAGATGTTGTTACTCTCGCTATTGATGTCTGTAAATTATTTCCCACCAAAACTTTAATTTGTTTTTTGGCGCCAAATTAATTATTATTTATATTTTTATTATAATTAGTCAAAGTTTGTAATTTGCATAATGTTTATATTTGGTATAAATTACACACACATATATATTCCTACAAAATTTATAAACGTAACTAAATTATTTTATAAATTATTATCTTCTAATTAATAGTATATTTTAATACTAAAAGTGTTCATGTATTAAATTTAAATTTAACTCAAAATTAAAAAGAATTGGATAAAAGATTATAATTTATACCAAATATGAACTTGGCGGTAATGGTTTTGGATTGCCCGCTTTAGTCAAAATTGGCCTTTAATTTGGCCAAAATACTTCACCTATCCACAGATTGGCGCCTCAGGCTCAGGCTGAAGCTCTCTCCGTCAGCAGCAATCGTAGGCTAAAGCCAGGTAAGTTCTATCTCTTTCTCCTAACATTGGCACAGGTGTTAGGGCTACTGAAGCTAAGGCCATTTCTTTCTCTTTCTCCTAACATTGGCGCAGGTGTTAGGGCTACTGAGCAATTGGGTGTTAGGGCTACTGAGCAATCGGGTCAAGAGGATGGTATTTTGCCAATCCCCGGAAGTGAGTTTCGTTA